GAAACTGTTATGTTGACTGATAGGTCAAGTCGCTAATAACCAATCGAAACGCTGGATGGTGCCAACGTGATTACATTACCATAGCTCATTTAAATATGTAATGTTGTCAGCGACTCATGGTAAACGAAACATGGAAGAGATTTACCGTTGTTGTAGTGCGATCGTTTGGCTTTGATTTTGATGGGAAAACGACATGATTTTTTTTTAAATCAAGAAATTAGTTGTTTTCGAAAGATAAGCTGAGCATTGAAGAAGAATTTAACACTTTTGAAAATAATAACAGCTAATTGTCGAAACGCAGTTTACCCAGTCACGCTACCCACAATAAACCTGTATTCTGGAATAAGCGTCAATGACTACGGAAAACCTTAATTAGACTCTAATTTAAGCATCAGGAATCATTGAAATGTTCGAAAAATTATGCCTTAATTTAAAATTAAATGGTATATCTTTTTCTGAAATATGTGGTGGCTGTTTGGTTTGTGAAAGTTTGGGGTGCGGCTTATATTGCAGACTTTTCCCTGGGATCAAAACTTGTCAATTTCAACATGAAACAATGTCTCAAGTTAGGGGTGCGGCTTCTATTAAAGCTGCGGCCTCAAATATGATTTTTACGGTAACTATTAAAAACAATTAAAGATGGCTTTTTGCGACTTTTCAAATAATTAGAAAGGTTAGTAGTATGATAGATTATTGTTACGTCTAACCATGGAGGTCCATGGTCTAACACTGAAATTTAACATTCTGTGAAAATGACGTGTGTGAATTTGTTCTAAATGTAACTGCACTCATTCCAACGTTGGAATTTTCCCATATATGGGATAAACTAAGTTTAATACCAACATTGAACACATTTTGTCTTTATTGGCGTATCCTTTGAACACTTACCTTTGTTTACATTGGACTACTACCGGTATTTCATGTGACAGAGATAGAATTTCGTCGCTGAACGCAAATATTGGCATAGTGCAAAAACATTTTTTTGGTTCCATTTTTGCTTTTATCTCGGAATAAATCATATCTACAAACAGAGAAAAGATGTATAATAATAATGTTATCATAAAAATACCACAACCTATCGACTTCCACTATTGGACGGTACTGCCTTTGTGTATACTTTGCGGTATTTACGTAGTAATCTCATATTATATGACATTTTTGCCAATAATGGGAGCCATCCAGTGCAAAAGAGAGAGGCATATAATTTCACGGCCATCCATCCTAGAAAGTGTCTTCCCTAGTTTATGCACACTCTGCAGTGGATGTAGAACAAGACTTGACACCTAACCATTATTGAGTTCAACCAATCAAGTTTTGTCACATGCACTATGTTATTCTGTATTTCAGTTAGTATTGGATGCCAACGATTCTGAGCATGGGTTCCTCACAGCAGCCATCAGACCACATGGTATATTTGGACCCAGAGATCAACAAATGCTACCAGTTACAGTGGAAATGGCTAAGGCTGGTAAAATGAAGTTCATTATTGGGTGAGTTCAATGTTGATTTCCATGTAAGTATGTTAAAGCGGGAGGGTCGTCACCTGCGCACGCGCGGGAATTGAGTCCCAAGCGACGATAACAACACACAGTAAAAACGCAAAGGCTCATGGGTAGACGATTGTTTGTAAACAATGACATGCTATGGCCATCTGACGCATGCGCGGGTGACGACTCCCCCGCTTTATCCTTTTCACCACCAGACTTTCTCACCCTAATTTATGTTCTTCAATATTTCTGGAAATAAACCCTAATTTTAAAGCCAACAGACAAAATTTGAGTCAATTTACAGTTTTCACTCCAACAATTTTGCTGTTTTTATCCCAATCTTCTGAAGGAATGTGCAGACTATGAACAAGACTATTTTGTGAATTTGTGATGAAAAGAGGGAACTGGTGGTGAAAAGGTTAATCAGAGGTTTTGAAAACTATTCTTCTGTGAAAAAGGTTAATATTATATATATTGTGAGTCAGGTGCATAAAATTATGTATAACAGTAACATATTTTGTTTTCAACTAGCGTTGAAATTTCTACATCATATGTCTAGTACGGTGGCACTTTACAATGTATTTATATCACCAGATTATGTTATCAGGAAATTAATACAGTTTATGCGATATTAACTGAGGGACCTCCAAATTAATTTTATAAATAATTACTGATTTATTTTAATTATTTCTCTTTTTTCCCACATATGTTGTAAATTAATTTTTGCCAGAATTCTTCCCACCTCCATTTTAAACCAATTCAAGTCATTGTTACCATGTTTTATTTTTTCTAAAATTTTGATCAAGACCTGGAGCCTAAAAAATTATAGAAAAATAAATAAAAACTCTGCAAAATGTTGGCAGGAAGAAATTATGGCACTCAAAATATGACATCATTAACAACTGTTACAACTTTTCCTCTCAATCTGTACCCGGCATCTGTGACAAGGTTGTAATTGTTACACTCTGTTTATTTCTATCAGAGATGGTAAGAACCTTGTAGATTTCACTTATGTAGAGAATGTTGTACACGGACATGTGTTAGCAGCGGAACACCTACAGAATGGATCTGTCGTTTGCGGCAAGGTGAGTCTTGACCATAGAGGGCGATGTTGACCTGCGGAAATTTAACTGTTTATACCTGGCATCACAAAAGTGGTACAATACATCTCATATATTGACATTTCCCATTAGAAATATCAATGGCGTATTTGGTGACTTTCCATCCTCCTATTGGTTTATTGATTGGTCTTTGCTTGCTGTTTGATTGTGTTAGCATTGTTTGCTGGTGGTTTCCAAAATGGAAAAGGCATTTTCTGCATAATAGATACATGCCATGAATAAGATTAAAAATTGTTGACCCATATCAGATTTATTAATTGTTTAAATTGGTTTTGGATTACCCATGTTAATTTACATTTGGAAAATGACAATGGTGAAAATTTGTATTAGTGACCACCTGCCAATAGTGTCTTTTAGGCAGTCTCAAGATATAACATATAAGCAACCTGTGTATAAAGACCACCTGTCTTATGTGACCACTCTTTCAGCAATATTTTTACCGATTTGCCTATGTATAAAAACCAAACTAATTAAAGTAGCATTCTATTTATAAACCAATTTTTAACTTCCTCAAATCAAAGTTACGTGATATTGATTTTGATCAACTCAAATATATGTGTTTTGGTTGCAACAATACCATCTCATTATTTTCTGGAAATGTTGATTAATAAAAAAAATTCAACCTCCATATAAAGATGGTCACTGTACACAGGTTTGATAGTAATAAGCCGGGTATTGTATGGCTATACATGTATCCTTACTGTGGAGTATATGTGTGTATGGGGAAAATGAACTGGTGGTGAAAAAGTTAATAGCATTCTTATAGACCTCACCTATGAAACAAAAATTAAAACTTTTTTTTCCTTTGCAGGCATATAACATAACGAACGATGAACCGATCTACTTTTGGACATTCTTATCCCGTTTACTTCAAGGCCTTAATTACCAAGCGCCCACGATACATCTACCGTACTATCTTATTTATTACATTGCTTTATTTGTACAAATTATATGCTTCCTACTCAAATTATTTATTGAAATAAAACCCAGCTTCACACCGATGAGAGTCGCCTTAGCTGGAACGCATCATTTTTACAGTTGTGAGCGTGCTAAGAAAGACATGGCTTACAAACCAGTGGTCAGTTTAGACAGAGCAATTGAAATAACTTTGGAAAGTTTTCAACATCTTAAAAATAAGTAATCTTTGATGAAATGTCCAATATTTGACTGTGCAATAAATGTTATTTGTTATGTCAACTGTAATTTAGGTTTTGAAGCCATCCTGAAAAACGTAGATGTTGATCACATAGTGTTGAGTTAGATGTGTGTGGGTCCCATGCAACATGTACAACATATTGTAACTAAATGTTTCTAAACAAGCTGTGCAATAAATGTTATTTGTTATGTCAACTGTAACTAAGGATTCATTATTACTCAGTCCCTTAAAAAAATTGGTTGAAATTTTAAAAATTCTGAAGAATGTAAGCAAATATCAGGAACGAGACGAATCATCACACAGCGTACACAATGCGTTCTTGTGAAATAAAACACTGGCGTTTATTAAATAAGCATACAAGGCCTTTGCAATGATATATTTGTATTCAAGATTATTTCAGCAATAGTTCCACTGTCTACGCTCCGCTGTTTCACTTTGTCATATGGTGGAAATATGCATATGATAAATATATACCGGGGTAATCCAGTGATATTTTTATGATATTTAGGTTGACCTCAGCATACACTTGTGACTACCGGCTCGGATTGATATAAACTCTGGTGGGAATCATTTGTGTATGCTGACATCAGCCTAAGAAAAAATATTGTGTGATTATATATAAATATACAAATGGAAATTTCAGATTATACTGAATTATCTATCTTGGTTACCTTTCTGTTAATTCAGTGGCCCACGAAAAGGGAGACAGACCCACAAAATAACAGGAAGGTAACCAAGCTATGAGTTCTGTAACAATATTTGTATTTATGTATTCACTCCCAATATTATTATTGTATTTTATATATTTTAATGTTCTTATAAATTCCTGAGATATTCTAATAATAGTGCAGTGTTAACTGGTTAATTACTTTGCTGAGGAGACACAATGTTCCTATAATTTTGTTTTTGAAAATTGATGCAGCAAAGCCTTTTTTGTTGTTGTTGTGACAAGGAATACCCCTGGTAGTAGCAGATATGTAATTTTTTATAAATTTTATAACTTTTGTTATTTACTGATTTCTATGAAAAAATATTTGCATCAGACGCATTGATATAATGTAAAGCTAATTTAAAATAAAGAGATTATTGGCACTTTAGCTAAATTTAAGATTCTGTGAATTCATGCACTGTGTCAAATTCGCTAAAATGATATGTAGCTATTTCAAAATGTTTTGCAGTATTACTTTTTGGGCAACAGCTGTCATTATTGCCATAGAGGGCATACTTTCAGCATATTGCACAGATTTGATTTGATTTTTTGTTGATGTTTCACTTTTTTAAGTTCCCTGGTTGATAGATACGGTGTAGGGTGATTTTTTTGACCCTGTTTGCCTTAGTTGTTTTACTAATTGAATACACATCAGAGATATCTTACAAACGTAGTTACAAATTGTTATATATGTTGTTCTACTTCATTGTAAAAAACATGATTTCCATACATGTATTTCACAAACTTAGGTAACATGGATTCCTACAATGTAATATTACCGGTAACATGCTCAGAACAAAAGTGAAGCTGATATACTGAAAAACCTGCCTTTATACTGCCTGTCCCTGCAGACCCTATATTGATCAATGTTAGTAAACTTCCTCCCTCTCCCTCCCCTCTATTGTGCTAAAGTGATAGAATAAATCAAGACAACATGGCGGACAATATGGATGATGATGATCCAGATGTTCATGGACCTGGATTCCCTTCACATTTTATGAACTAAAAATTTTTTTTCACTGGGAATAAATTATTATTACTACCGTAACCGGTATATTATATACAGTATTCTGCTAGATGTGCTAGGATACCATATTTGTACTATTAATAATGCAATATGTAAATAATTAATTATTAATTAATTAATAATATGTAAATAACCGAAGTTATTCTGTGGAAATAAGTTCAGTTTAACATAAAGGTGAATTCGGGTGTATGTGCTACTAGGAATGCAATAGATCAAATATCTATAATGACTGTGATCCAAGTGAAGACTGCACATAACAAAATTTCCTGGAGAAACTACATATATGCTGCATATAGTTATGTGCAGTGTCGATCCCAGAATGACTATATGCCCTCTATTATTGTGAGACTTTGAAAAAAGTCTACAAATAATAATAGACTAGTGAATCGATCTGGGGGCTGCAGGTGGGCGTTATATACGACATACGGGTCAGTCTGCACATGTGAGTTCCCATTGTAATGTACTGAATAATGACACATAATCCAGTGTCATCTATGCATTTATATCGGGACTCACCAGGGCTTTTTTGAGTGCATTGGGAAAGTAATTCTGAATGGCTGGATACAAGGCTATGAATGATGCCTTCCCCGAAATGAGATCTACTGTAGAATACTTTATTTACTAGAAGTCTGAACAATTCTAAGTTTTGGTTTCCATGGATTTATTAAGAGGGCAGCTGTGCACTAATTAGCTAACACTTACCTGCTTACTTATATATAATTGCTGTGTGAACAGAATGCATCTGCCAGCTTACTTGATTGAGAGTCTTTTTTCCCTGATTTTAATATTATTCTGGTGAAAATAAAGTTACAGTATTTGTTCAATTAGTAGTGTATATGTGTATGTAAATGACAGGGCTATGTCTATGGTTACAGTAAAATAAATCATATTTAAATGATTTGTTCTCAAATTGATAATCTTTTTAATTTTAAGCTAATAAAAGGATATTTTTGATAAAGCTGTGCAGTTTTAATATTTCTATTATTTATTTATATTAACTTTCATTTTCGGTACGTTCCCATGTAAGCAAATTTGAAATTTTTGTTCATAAATGCGCAGCTATGACAAACCTTCGCACCCCTATTTAACAAGTGAACGAGTCTGAAATTCAAAATGACGTAAACGTAAACTCGTAGTAGTCGAATGAGGGCGCTCTTCACTAGCGTCCAAAATGGCGGCCAAGTTCAATCTGGGTGATCTTGTGTGGTGAGTTTTGACAATTTTAAACGGTATCTCTTATTGTATTCGCATTACCGGGAATAAAAAAAATACCGGACTGGATTCAGGATATTTATTAACTATAATGTTTCTATTTCAGGGCTAAATTGAGCAGTTTTCCGGCCTGGCCTGGCAAGGTAAGCAGAACAACAACAATATGCACATGCCGCGCGTTTACATAATTCTTTGAAGCGTGTGTCTGCATGTTTTTGTACTCATCAAACGTCCAGTTTTTAGTTTTTATTGCGTATGTGCGAATCGATTTCGACACAATATATAGCCCTGTTTCGTTAGTCGTTTGTTTTTGCAAAGGAGTTGAATGCAGCCGTTAACCGAACCAGTAGCGTCGAAAATAAATGATGGGTCATTTGATTATAAACAATGATCACTTTGCAAAACAAAGATAGTAAGAAACACACGGTGTCATTTTGCGGTCTTTTCCATTGAACACGATTTATTAATTAGTCTGGAATTATTTTAACACATTGTGTGTATAATAAACCTAAACGTACATTTGGTGTCTAATTTCAGTATAATTTTTAATCCTTCTATCTGTACAAGCACAAATTATTGCTTTGAACGAGAGAGATTCTTCAACTAAATCCATTACTAAACGAAGCATTTTGCAAAAACACCCAAAAGCTACCTACTGAAGGTATAATTGTTTTGAAATCTAAACTGACGTCTTGTTGCATTGTACTAGACATTGCCATTAGTGAAAACTTGCATATGCATTTTCGATGAGGTTTCATTATTCTTGTTTGATACATATCAAATTAAATTATGATTTGTCATAAATTATTGTTTTGCAGCACATTGTACAGTATTTCTTTGATGAAAAATAATGAAAAGGCAGTGTTGATTGACGTAAACAAACCCCTTCCACTAGACAAAACTCAAGTTCAAATGCAAAATGTTATAAACAGCACAATGCATTTTTATTATTTTGTATTTGCAGTCACCTTTGAAGAAAGAAAAAATGATGTTTACTGTGTGCATGTTTTAATTATCAATAAGCCATTCAAATCAGTTAACACTCAGAGCTAACCAGTCAGCAAATACAGCAAGCTCGCAATGTTACGATAACAGTAAAGTCATTCAAATTGTGTTCACTTTTTGTCTCAGTGATTATGGAAATGTTCTCTGCTGCTAAATTTCTCAATTTTCGGTGAATCTGAAATATTTCACTCATGCAAAATTAAGGGATTTACAGTAGATGTCTTCTATTATTCTGTGCTCACCGCTATGTAATATTTGTATCTTTTTTTTTATTGCATCTGAAGGTTGTACGACCCATGAAGAATGTCAAAAAACCTACTGGCAAGAAGCCTGTACATTTCATTTTCTTCTTTGGCACACAAGACTAGTAAGTTTTTCTTTTACATGTATTCTTAATTTTTGTATTTTATAAGGAGTGCTGTATGCAGTGGCACAAATGATTGGGAAAAACATGTGTGAATTGAAGTTGAAATCTAACCT